TTCCATCTCTTGAAAAAGCCCGATTACTTGATACCCGAAACCGTGTGACGCAAGGGCATTAATTATAATGTTCCAAGAAATAACATTCTTCCCCTGCATGCCACGAAAGACATCTAGAGCTAATTCTGCCGAGCCACACTTGGCATACATGTCCACCAGAGAATTACACAAAGTGACAGTTAATTGCATGCTATTATCACGCAAATAATCGTGCAATTTCTTTCCCGAAACTAAATCACCAAGGTGACCGCAAGCCGAAAGAGCACTGACTAGCGTGGTCTCATCTGGAACCACACAAGAATCACACATTTTGTAAAACAAATCTAAAGAATCCTTGTAATAGCCGTTTTGGAGGTAACACGAGATCATAGAATTCCATGAGACTGTGTTCTTAAGAGGCATTTGGTCGAAAATACTCTCTGCTAACTCTACTAATCCATGCTTGGCGTACGCGCTAATCATGGAAGTCCAAGAAACTACGTTTTTATCTACCGTACATGCAAAAACTGCCTCAGCCATCTCCAAATGCCCGCATTTGGCATACATATCCAGCAGTGCATTTTTCACAAACACATCAGCAAAAAAACCATTAACTACAATACACCAGTGCACGTACCTCCCAAAATCCACATCGTAAATTCTCGAACACAGCGACAGCAAACTGACAAATGTATGACCATCAGGCTGCACACCGTTTTTCCACATCCCACCGAAAAGCAAAAACGCATCCTTCCAGGAACCCATCTTCGCATAACCACCGATCATCGAGTTCCACGTGACCAAAGTCCTGAACCCAACCTGGTCAAACACTTTCCGTGCATGCTCGACCCTCCCACAGCCGACGTAAAAATTTATAAGCCCATTCTGCACGACCACATAAGAATCATGAAACCCAAGCTTCACAGCATGCAAATGTGCCGAAATACCATCTCCATATGCCTTCCAAGCCGCGCACGCTTTCAGAACAAAAGGAAAAGTAAACTCATTTGGGTGAATCCCACTACACACCATTTTCCGGTAGAGAAAAATGGCCTTTTCCGAGTATTTTCCATTTGAGCAAGCTCTTATCAAGGTATTGTACATGTGCCGGTTCGGGTGGGGAAATTTGTCGAACAGGTTATGTGCATACTGCAAGTCTCCGGAAGGCGACAGGCTGCAAAAGGAAATGAGGCGGCTGAGAGAGGTGGGGTCGTGGGCCAGGCCACGGAGGATGTATTGGGCGTGGAGGGCTTTGAGGTGGCTCATGGACGAGCATTTTTCGACCAGTGAAAGGAGTTTTTGATGGGGTTGTGAATAAGAGTTTGAGTAGTAGGAGGTGGATTTTTGGGAGGAAAAAATAACGGTCAGAATTTTGGGGAATTTGGGCATTGCCTGTAGATTAATTTGGTGCCGTGTTCGAGGAGTATGACTGTTTGTGTAAACATCATGGTGCTGGATTTTTTCAAGTTATCTACCAATTAATGCCCTTTGGCCTCATTTAGTTTCTACTAATACATAAACGCATCTATATCTATATATATACTAGGGAAGAGCCCGCCGTGCAACGCTGCGCAACGACGAGGCTCACGATTAAATTTAGTTAATTATTTAGACCTTTAAACAATAGGAATGGAAAAAAATTAATATAAGGTTGAATACTAAGATATAAATATGTGTTCATAAACACTATCTATATAAATTAAAAGTAGAAGATAATTGATAAGATGTACAAAGTAAGTAGCTGATTTTAAATACCAAATATTCCCAACATGACACTTTAATAATACGTAACAAAAGTAGTGACTTCATAATATTCCTAGCACACCACACTAAGTGTCGCACATAACATTCTTATCATGACAATTTAACTATATACATCAAAAGAAGTGCCAGAAGCTACATATTGTTTAGGAACATATTCTATGTGAATCATTCTAGTTATATTAGTATTTATTAAGCCTATGAATTAATAATACTAATGTAATCAGGACAAAAGACAAAACAGTACTATTTTATTATCAAATAAAAATATAAATTATTTTATAAAAAAATAAAAATCTAATTCATCAACACATTATAAAATAATTTCCATACATTTTGGTTAAAATATATGAATTAAATATTACATAAAATAAATTATAATAAATATTATAAAATATTGTTTATTATAGTATATTATATAAGAACTAAATGTTATTATGGTATTTAAATATAAGATATAAATCGGTATCATAATTAAATATAATGAAACAATTTTGTCATAAATTTATAAATAATATATTTTGGCATAAATTAATATTCTAAATTATTAAATTAAATAAAATTAAAAAATCTTAATAACTTAATAAAACCGACTCTATAAATATAAAATATAATCGCAATACAATAATTTCTTTTTTGAAAAAGAAATTGAATAAGATATATGGAGTTGTAAATAATATATGTTTTAGACATATAAAATTTAAAAAATATAATTAAGAAATATTATTTTTGATAAATTTATTGAAAAATGGGGACGCCAATTTGTATTATTATTTTTTTTATTTTATTATTATTATTTTTTTTAACGATAGAAATATTATACTACTCAAAGGGAACAAAGTTCTACTACAAACACAACGAAAGACCGAAAACTAAAACTGATAGGAGTTGCAAAAAAGCGGCATAGAAAACCCACAGACGGGATGTGGGAAACCAACCAAACTATTAGAATAACCTTCTAAACCATTGCAATTGCCTAGCATAAAAGTCATGTCCCTACCAAGCTAAAAATAAACAAGACTACCCAAACAAACAACAAACTAAAGTAAAGAAAAAAACTAAAACAGACAGACTGAATCTAATTAGAGATAGTTGAGAACTCCATCCAATCTCTGAGAGCAGCCATGGCTGCCACCCTAACATGCATACTCTTTTTATTGAAAAATCCACAGGTTCCGGGACTTCCAGATCCACCACAGTAGGTAAGTTGTAAGCTAGATTCGAGCCTCAGCCACCTCAGAGTGATCATCTGTGCAGAATTGCCACCACTAGGAGTCAAACTTGTCACTTGCTAAACAAACTCCATCCCACTGCACTGGACCAATCTTCTTGAGTTTTTTGGCTCTGTCACAGTGAAAAGACACATAAGCAACTGTTTCTATATACTCTCCACAACTCTTACATATATCATCAATGTTGAGTCCTTTCTTCTTCAAATTAGCTTTGAAAAGAAAGGTGTTTGTGCAGCACTTCCAAAGGAAGTGTTTGAGCTTGTTGTGAACTTTCAGTTTCTAGGTTCTTGCTCTTGCACAGTAATGGGAAATTTGCTGCAGCTGCTTTGTGGAATGTCCAGCTCTTGCAACTTTCTATTAATAAGATAAGCGTAAGAAGAGGAAATAAGAACAACCTTCTCTTATCAAGGCTTCAATACATTCTGTCTTCTTGCCTGGGATTTAGAGAAGAGATTTTTTAGAATAGCCTAACTTTCTTCTTCATTGAAAACCTGAGTAATTAAACGCACATTCCAACCTACTCCATTGTTGTTCATCAAGTCCTTAACACAGATCAAATGCCCTCTTACCAACTCCATCAACCATAGGTTTGAGATCTTGAAGTGAAGGAATCCAGTTAGCATCAGATATTCCAGTGGTTGGCCCATTCTTCACCTGGATTCTAAAACCTTTGGAAAAGAGAGGTAGAGTATCCAACCAACAGTTCCATACCCACGAGCTATTTTGGGTTTTACAACATAAAAAATGAAACTTGTAGGATAATACCTGCTTTGCAGAACCCTGCTAAAGTTTGAATTAGTTATCACTTTGTTAGTTGTTGTATATTCATTATACATAATTTCATAATAAAAGCATAAATAATTTTTATATTTTAAATTGTACAAATATTAAAATATTCAAGTACCCCTGTAATACACATGTATATTATTAGTTTATTAATATACCTTAAAGAACAATTTTGGTATATTATCTGAAAAAAATATAGAAATTGAGTATCAACAAAATTTGATATGAAAAATATTCAAAAACTATGTCTCCACTTTAATAAAGCGTGTATAAAGTTTAAATGTTATTATGATGTTGTAAATAAAAATACAAATGAATACCATAATTAAAATAAAAAAATATATTTCATAAATTTAAAAATATTACATTTGCATATATTAATTTATATTTTAAATAATCAAATATTATAAATTTAAAATACTTAGAAATTAATATATGAGAAATCAATCACTATAATACAATAGGGCTTTTAAGAAAACTACAAAATCGAAATCAAATTTATGGTATTGTAGATATCATTTTCATTAGACATATATAAGTTGATAAATATAATTAACAACTATTATTGTTAACAAGTCAAGTGTAGAACATGATTTCACATTAAAGAATATCATTTCTTAGTTCTTTATTTTTTATAATTTATCGATAAGAATATAGTTATTTTATTATTTTTTCTTATAAAGTATCACTCTTTTTCAAGTACCCGTTAGTACACGAGTACCGTATTAGTGTAATACTTGAAAGAAGATATATATGTAAAAGTATGACAACATCCATAGAAAAGCTATATCTTTTTTTTTTTTTTTTGGTTTAGAATGGCAACAGAGTCTAAACAAAATATTTCAGCGCGACATGCGCCCTGGACGACCTTCTTATAGCAGTTTACTTTTGTCATGAAGTATCGCTCCAGTGCTTCGAACAAAGTGGCAGACGCCTTAAGTCTTCTGGCGCTCCTTTTGATTGATATGCGTATTTCTGTGGTGTTTTTGATTTTTAACACGAGGTTTATGCAGACAACCCTTTCTTTGGGCCAATTATGCGCCACTTGGCAGCTGGTCCTTTTGAGGAATACCGCCGATGGATTTATTTTTCGTTGTGTGCGCTTCTATGTGCCGGCGAACAGTCTACGTCAGAAGTTGATTGTCTATATCCGTGGTGCTGGCCACGTGGGCCGTGATCAGTCGGTTGACTTTGTTCGCCGGTCGCACTTATGGCCGTTCGTGAGGCGTGATGCGGTACGATTTGTGGAGTGTTTTCGGGTCTTCCGAGGGTCGAAGGGGGTTGTGTCCAATGTGGACTTATATTGCCCTCTTCCTATTCCTTGCCAACCGTGCATCGCGATTAACATGGATTTCGTGTTGGGTTTTCCACGCACTCAGAGGGGGCTTGATTCCATCTTTGCGGTCATGGATTGCGTCTCGAAGATGGTGCACTTTATCTCATGTGAGCGCACCACTAATGTCATTCACGTGGCTCAGTTGTTCTTCTGGGATATCTACTGATTACATGAAATCTCTTCTTCTATCGTTTTGGACCGCAATACTCGGTTTCTTAGTTATTTTTGGCGAAGCCTACAGCGTATGGTCAATACACGTCTGGATTTCAGCAGTGCATCCTCAGATGGGCAACCAAACGGAGGTGGTCAATTGCTCGTTGGGGGAATCTGCTCTGTTGTCTGGTGGGCGATAACCTCCAGAGTTAGGACCAACGCTTGGGCCACGAGATTTTTGCCGTTCCAGACAATCTATGTTGTGCAGCCGCATAGTCCGTCTAAGTTAATTGCTTTGTCGACTTCCGCGGGCGTTGATCGGAGGGCTGCAACCTCATCGTGGATTTTCAGTCGACCCATGTTGCGGCACATGCTCGTTTGGAGATAACAACAACATCTAACAACCGTCATGCGGACGCTCATCATCGGCACGTGGAGTTCGAGGTAGGTGACTTTGGTTAGGCGGTTTTGGTGAAGGACATGTTTTCAGCCCATGAATATAACAAGTTGTCTGTGTAACGCCCCGTTTACTTAATAAAAGCATAACATTCTTGCATTAGCTCGACTTGTGTTTAATCTTGATTTTTAATTCAAATCATATTAATCCAAAAATAAGATTAGATAGACGTCCTCGTTTATTAAAGTTGCATAATAAAAAATAAAGATTAAGTAGATGTCCTCGTCTACTTAATTTTTCTAATTTGCTAAATTTTTAATTTTCTAAGTATAGCTATGTCCTTTTGTGCCGAAGTGTGTTAAGTGCTTAAGTTATTACTTTTTTTTTTGGTCCAAGTATTTTTCTAAGCTGTAGCTCGGCCATGTACCACCCAATCAAACATGTCACATTTCCGACAAAATTGGTTCATATTTGAATTCATTGATGGTCAGTCGATTCAAAAAGTTTGTTTTCTCATTTAGAAAAGAGAATACATAATCGCAAAAACTTCACGCTATATCAGATTGCGCCAAATTCAACAAAAAAAGTGTTAGGGTTCGAACAAACGAACTGTAATCAGGACACAGTCTTTCGGGTGGAAGGTTCTCATCATTGTCGCGCACCATCCAGCCCATCACGATCTTGATTGAGTCTGATTGACAATTTTTAGGTTCCAATCGAAGGAAATATTGGGATTGGATGTCGTAGAGAGAAGAACCCTAGAATGAATTAGGGATTTTGTTTTGAATTTGAGATTTTTTTTTGCCTAAATTCAATTGACTGGGAGATTGACATTCACAGACTTGAAATGGCGGATTCGTCCTCAAGTTTCGAGTGTGCAACTCACATGCTTATTTTTCCGGTGAAAAATGGGCCTCCGATGACCAGAGGTTGCAATATAGACAAACCGTGTATTTTAGGTTGCAAATTAAAAAAAAAAAAAACACTTCTAAGTTGTAAAACACAAAAAACGCCTATAGTACAGAAAAAATTATTTATATTCATCCAATTTGCGTTTAATTTGAAGCTAGGTGGGTTTAGCCCCCAAACAGCCCAACCCGCTTGACATCGTTATATCTTTCTCACGTCCTTATACCACCACAGCTAGGTTTTTTTTTGCCTTTCCCCCATTTTTACAGTTTGTGATAACCTAATTCGCTCGAAGATGAAGGTGGTTACCGATTGTTTCTGGGACGGGAAGGTTTTAACTCCCGGATTCAGATTTCATCCGACGGACGAGGAGCTCGTGCTTTACTATCTGAAGAAAAAGATCTGCTGCAAACCACACCGTCTGGATGTGATCGGCGATCTGGACGTTTACAAATGTGACCCGGAGGAGTTGCCTGGTAGGGTTTGGCCTCAATTTTGTTTCCTGTTATCGGAATTTTTTTAGACGTTTTTAATTTGTTGGGGCTTTTTTGATCATGTGTTTCTTTTGAATATGGGTTCTGCATTGTGTTTTTCGTCTGATTTATGATTCGATTAGTTTTTTGTGTTTGAATTATCCTGTTTGACTGGTTTTCGTATTGTTTTTATGGGTTTGTGAGTTTTGTTGGTGGGTTTTAGTCTGTTTATCAAGATTACATCTATATTTTTGTGGCTAGTCTTGATTATGGGTAAAGTTAAAGGCCTTGTTCTGTTAGTTGATTTATTTGTCTGCTTTTCTTGCAGGATTATTAGTTGATTTATGGGTAAAGTTAGAAGTCTTGATTATTACGGGTCATACTATTTAAACAATAATGCATACTTATACTATCAAATGTGATATTTTCGTTCATGTTTTTTAATAAGTATGACATTGTCTAATGAAAGTACTATTTTTGGGAAGAGTATGTTGATGTAATGGTTATGCCGGATTAGCACAAGACCAACCGTTTTGGAGTTAAATTGAAAAATCATATTGCTGCCTTGGATTGCTTGGATACATGAAGCTGATTTCTATAGCTATATGTCTGACTCGTATGGTAATTTGCGTTATTTTTAGAGTAAAAAGTGCATAACTAGTTGGATCTATATTGATATCTGAATCATATTTGCTTGATTACTTTGCTCCTTTTATGTGATAGTATTTCCGTAACCTACTTTGCCTGATTACTGATTTTTTTGAATAGCTAAAAGTAAAACGCCTGATGATAATGGTAATAGTGATGGTCATGTGTACTGCAGTATCTTCCCAATATTTGAAGTCCTTAATTTGTTATTTGTACAGATTTTTTGTTTGAGCGACAATGATTATGTCATTTTACTTGCTCGAGTCATCATTTGTTGACCACTTACTATTCTCAAAAAAAAAAAAAAAAAAAAANAAAAAATGCAGGGATGTCAAAACTAAAAACAGGTGATAGACAATGGTACTTCTTTAGTCCCAGGGATAGAAAATACCCGAATCGAGCAAGGTCCAACCGAGGCACAAAGCACGGGTACTGGAAAGCGACTGGCAAGGACCGCATCATCACATGCAGTTCTCGTGCAGTTGGATTAAAGAAGACCTTAGTTTTTTACAGAGGCCGTGCACCAAGCGGGGATCGTACAGACTGGGTCATGCATGAATATACTATGGACGAGGAGGAGCTGAGGAGGTGCAAGACCGTTAAGGAATATTATGCCCTGTACAAGGTCTATAAGAAGAGTGGCCCCGGTCCTAAAAATGGAGAGGAATATGGTGCACCCTTTAATGAAGAGGAATGGGAAGACGATGGGGATGAAACTCAGTGCACTGTCGAGAAAGAGAATCCTTTAATGAATGCTACTGCTAATGAGGCTGTTCATGAAAATAATAGTGGCAATGTTAATGGTCATCTTGTGTCCTCATTGGAGGATGATCTCGAGGAGATGATGAAAAGGATGACGGACGAGCCTATCCCTCTTCAGACCCTAGTTGCTGATGAAAACGGGTATACTTTGGTACAGTTCACGGGTGAGGTCGAGGCTGTTAGTAACTCAATTGACTATTCTTGTAGAGATTTTCCTTTACCCGTGATGCAGCATTCACAGCCTTCATGGCAGCAGCAGCTGAATGGGTCAGCAGCTAATTTTGATCTTTCACAGTCGGGAATTGGTGGATTATTACCCTTCAGGGAGCCACCCGAGGTCTTATCAAACCCGGTTGTGGTAGGTACACGTGAAATTGAAGAGGATTTCAATGAAGATTTTTTTGAAATGGATGATCTGAGTGGCCCGGTTCTGACCTCACAAGGTACTGATGATCTTGTGTACAATGATCCTCAGGGGCTGTTGCTTGATGGGTTTGACCTTTATCAGGATGCCCTTTGTGATCTTGGCCCAGTCAACTCGAGGGAGGTTTCTCGACCCCCCCAGATGAATAGTTTTGTTGACAATGGAAGTCAGAACGTGATCTCGAGGTCGCCGTTGAACATTCTCGAGAATCCAAGAGCGAGTTACCTGATGGAGCAAGAATTTAATGACCTGGAAGGGGTCGCTTATCAAATGTGGACAGATAAGCAAAGTTGCAGTTTCTTAAGCGGTGCTGAGGCAAATGAGGGACTCTTTCCTTCCCAATCTTCAGGTATTGAATTTTTGTGGAAACCCCAATCCGGTGACTTTTGATTTCGTTACACTGTCGTAACTTGCTCGGCAATTATCCTCTTCCCTGAAATAACTTTTCAAATTTGAATAGTCATTTTGACTGTTATTGTTAAATTTGTTAAGAAATGAGTTGCGCGCATGCCTGTTATTGGCATTGTATGCTGATTTTTCTAGAGCTCTTGATCGGATGGATGGTATGGTCCATGTCATCTTCGAGGTGGTGAAAACTCTCTAGCTGAAGTGGAAATTGGGGGAGTTTGAGCCAGCTTGAAGAGCTTGTGGTCTGCCACTGAAATTCTTGTTAAGACTGTTTTTACTAATTGTTCTTTATTCTCTTAGGTCTATTGCATCAAAATCAAGACAACGGTCTGCAAAATCAATCGAGTGGAGCAAATGAAAATGGGAGTCGGAAAGAGGATGATGGTGAAGACTCATGGTTCTCGTCTGCTGTGTGGTCCTTTTTGGACACTATACCAACAACTCCTGCTTCAGCTTCCGAGAATGCGTTGGTAAATAGGGCTTTTGAGCGAATGTCGTGCTTCGGTAAGGTAAGAATAAATGGCAGACACATGAATGTTGCTGCAGGCAATGCCTTGGCAACTACCAGAAGGTTGGCCAAGTTTAGAGTCAGTTTTATTTGTTTGTCTTTAATTGGAGTGTTGTGCGCTATATTATGGGCGCTTGTTGGAAACAATGTGAAATTGGCGGTTTCATATTATTAAATATTAATATGAAGTATTTGACTGGTAGTATGTAGATGGGAGTTTTGATGTGGTGCTTGCTGAGAATTTTGTGGGCAAGTCTTTTTAACAGTTAGAAAGTCTTTCTAAATGTATGTGTATATATGTATATATGAATGAGTGCACTCCGCAGGTAGTGTGTAGTGTGCAGCATGGTAAATAAATCAAACATTTTCTTTTCAGTTCTTTATTCGAATTCGGCATTCATGATTCATATTCATAAGAAAATGAATTCGAATAAAAATAGTTTCGAAATTTATATGAATCTGAATCCTAATATGCATATTTTCGATCCAAAGTTATCGAGTTTCCGATTTGTTAATAATATTAAATTTAATATATTATATAGAACATAATTTATTATCTATACAATATATAGTAAACGTGAATATATAAAATGAAAAATATATATCAAGTATAATTAGAAATATAGTTCTGTATATAGTTAAAGTATATATTATATTAAAAAAGATATTTACAAGCATTGCTTCTGTGCTTGATTTTCGTGTTTTCGGCATCCGAAGAGTGACGGGAACCGGATTGAAGAGACGGGCAAACTCATACTTTATTTCGCTCACCAACATGATCTAGCCCTAATATGTTATTTATCATGAACCATTTAACTATTACAATACAAAATAAAATAAGGGACATAATAAAAACAATTCATTGGAGATCATACACTTTGGAAAATCGAACAAGAGACAAAATAAAACAATTCATTGGATAATTTTAAGATTAAAAACAATCATGCGATGCTTCACGATTAATAGTAACAAAGTTGCCTTATCCGAGCATCGTTTTGTTGTAGAAAGTCTGAAGGCATCATAGATGACTATTGTTACACCCCTAATTAAGTGTGGTGTCGGCTAGTCGCGCGGTCCCTTAGCGTATCCAGGTACGACGACGCGTGGTATTGAAGGATTATGTGTCAAGTAGGGGAGGAATGCATAAACGACTACAAGGTCCGGGGCTATCTTAGATGGATGCTAAGTTGCAGGGAATTGGTACGTCCTTAGGCTAAATGTGGGATTAAGTCGAATCTTCATGGGGCGAAGGAGACTTGTGTGCGAGACTCAACTATCAATGTCTAAGTGGCTAGAGTCGACACTCTCATTTCCCAATATTTGAGAATGTCGTGTTCTCAAAACGACGTTGGGCTGAATTATGTGAGATACATGTATGGGTGGGTCGAGACCTAATGTGGGGTCTTGACGTACATCGAGTCGGTTCGAATCGTGGGAGTCTCGTCAGAAAATACTCGATAATAGGGTTGGGTAAAAGTCGAGGTCTCGGTCAGACGAGGGTTGCCTGCTATGCATTACCTTGTAGGACACGTGGGCTTGACTTGGAGACGCTACGGTGCGAGGCAATGGAATGCCTTGCACGCTTTTGGGGTAAGGCGCAGATAGGGCGACGCCTATGTACATCGATGGACTCAAAAGCATGGGCGTTGGTAGTCTATGTTGCTACTTGCTAGCTGAGTTGACGTAGAGGAGATGTGGGCACGTCATCGTTAGGCAGTTAGTGCAAAATTGCCATGCGATTTACTAACAGTTATCCAACAGCTAGGGTTAAGAGCTGAGTTGCCGAGGCCTTTAAATAGGTGAGGCGAACATTCGCGTGCAGAAGCATACGAGGCTGAACTCGGCGAGAAAAAAATGAACGATCCTTGAGACAACTGAGAGCACTGGAGTGAGTCAAGAGCTCCGGGCGCCGGAGTTCCAAGGAGGTAACTCAGTTCAGTGAGCGAACTCAAAAGAGTTAGCGAGAGCACCAAACAAGAGGACAACGAGAGAGCAAGCAAGAAAAAGAGAGCGAGCAAGGTCCTAGTACATGTATTATAGTGAGACATGTATTGGTATATGTGAAGTGTTTGTAGCGTGAGTAAGGCCAATTTCTATAAGGTCGTTACTAGATTTGGCAAACGTTAGATATGAGTGTAAAGCCGGAGGCGTCGTCCATTGATACGTAGGTAAGACCAAGACGTCTAGAGTGTGCATGCATGCACAAGATAGCTTGAATAGGGTATTGTATCGCGTGTGTGCAAGCCATGGCATTTCCATAGTGCAATTGAGTTATTATAGCCGATGGTTGGGCATGATCCCGTACATGTGTTGGCGTCACTTGTTATTTACTTGATGCTTCTGCGAGTGCGCGATTGACGGCTAGAACCGCCGATAAATTATACTTGTATGGCGAAACGAAGGTTTAGCGGGAGATTGTGGCTGACTAGTCGAGGAGATCACAGGCGAAAATTTGAGCCCGGAAGCTATCCCTGTGACAACTAGCAATTTGAACACGAACTTAATTCTCAAACCATTATCAACACTACATAATCATTATCTGGCTCTAGCTGGAGCGGCCTTCCCTTGATTCTCGTGATATTGTCGCCCTTGCGGTGCGGGAGGTGGCGGGTGGATCAGACGTTCTCGCCGTGTGTTTATGTGCCGTTCTGAGGGGATTGCCTTCGTCCTTCGGGTGTCGCAGTGGTGTTGGCATTGTGGTGCATGTCGGGGGGAGGTTGCGGCTCGGACTACCTGATGGTCTGGTCGGGTGGCTGGAGTGACGGATTGTCTGGCTTTCTTTCTCTAGGCCTCTTTACCCCTGGTGTTAGGGTTAAGGGGCTGGCCGACGTCTCCGATTTCGGCTGTGGTGTAGGCTGGGGTAGGGAAGGTGTTGGGGTGTTGGGGGATTAGGCCGGAAATCTTCCTGCTGAGGGCTATGGTTGACTGCCTGGGTTCGGGGTCATGTCCTCAGGATGTGGGTTCAATTAGGCATTTGGCAGTTTTTGGAGCGACTTCTTGGAGCGTGGTCTGGCCCGATGGGGTAGTTGGCTTGGTTGCCGCCGGTGAGGATCTTGGTGTTTATGCCGACTGTGAAGGGTTGTTTCTGTTTGTCTTGTTTGGTAGTTCGTGTTTACTTTGGCAATGTTTTATTTTTTTCTCTCACGTTGGGACTGTGTCCCGTGTATTCTCCTGTTGGGAGCTTTTGGTTTTATTCTCCTTCAGCGATTTTTTTTTAGTTGTGTTGTGTGTTGTAAGTTGACTCTAGACTGTCGTTTGGTTGTACGTGTAGTCCCCTCTACAAGAGTCAACTACTCAGCTTATTCGGCTATTGGCCGTATATTCAGCTGAATAGCTAGTTTCTTCTCTCAGCTTGTTGCAATATAAGTACTTCCTATAGTTCCGTTAAGAAAAAAAAAATTCTAAATACACCTTGATCTTTTTACATTTTGCAATTTTATACCAATCTTTGGATAATTGCAATATAATCTCGACCTTAATACTTTTACAAAACGAAATTAAAATGGTCGGACCTTCCAAAAACGTCAGTGTGTCCGACTGCTTATATCCACGTGGAAATTTAAGTTTGTTGCGTGGATATACATAAAAAACGTAGAAATTTTAGTTGTATATTCATCCCGTCATTATACAATTCATTTCTTAAATTTCCAAATTTTCAATCCCTAAATTCCCAAATTTTCGCTTCGAAAAATTCTGATATTTTGTAGACTTTTGCTCTTGTGATTTGCATCAAGATGTCGTCTTCATCTCGCGCAAGCCAGAGTTTTGGAAGCTTTCCTACGAAGACGGTCTGTCGCCATGGCAAGGAAGCTGATGTCTTGACCTTGATGACTTATGAGAATCCATGTTGGAGGTTCTACATGTGCCAGATTAGCGAGGTGAGCTCATAATTTAACTTCTCGCTAATTTCTTCAAAAACTAAAATTTCTATAAACCCTAGTTTTTTGAATTTTCAATATTTAGTAGTGGATGACTGCGGTTTCTTCAAGTGGATTGGTCCCGCACTTCCTCATTTTAAAAAAAATCCTATTTTTGCGATTAAAATCTCAAAATGAGTCTTTGGAAGAGCAACTGAGACGTAAAATTGCGTTGGAGAAAAGAAAATGTACAGTGAAAGGGCAATGGAAAAAGATGAATTCTTGGACCAGGCTAGTGAATTTGAACACAAATCGAATGATCTTGTGGACGAAGTTCGGAAGAACAAAGACGTCGTGTTGGTTCTGGAAAAGACATTAGCCCTTATGCATAAACTAGAATGGAAGTTGAATATTGTTATGTTTTTCTTATTTGTGGTTGTACTGTTTTTTGTTCTTGTTTGCTTGGAAAGCAGGGTCATGTCGAAGGGCCTAAATATTTGAATGCTTTCTTTTGGTGTTTTATCTCCTTCAGTTGATGTATTTATCACATAAATTAATGGAATCTATGTTTGTCTCAGTTTGTGGTTGTACTGTTTTTCTTGTTGTCCTTTTTTTTTGTATATTATTCCATTCATGAGATACAACATGTTAAGCAAAATAAGATCATTCCAATGTAGTTAAATGAGATCAACTATGTTAAAGCATCTTGAGTGCCTAAAACAAAATTCAACACCCAATATAACAAGTCTAAGATCATTCCAATAGCTTCAAAGCTTTGTTCAGAACATAACAACTCTAAGATCCTTTTGTTTATCATTAGAACAAAAGACATACTGTAAGCTTTTGTTTACATTAAGGCATATGGTAAACACAAGACAGTTTGGTCACATCAGAACTATATAATAAAAAACATATAAATCATTCCAAGTAGAAAGAAAATAACACCCAATACTAAGATTTATTAACTGTTTCAATAAGCTACATTTTGTAAAAATATGATATTTGAATGAATCTTATGCCATTTGAAACCTAAGTGATAAAGCTACAATTCATATTAAAACATCAAGATTCCCAGGTAACCACAAAAGGCCAAAAATAGCAAAAAATGAAAGACTCAAACTTTCGCTTTTAAAACGAAAATCTGACTGCACAATGATCAAATTTTCGACATATTTTTCAATATAAAAATGATAAACACTCGATTCTTTTTCCAAAATAAAGATAAAACTATGAACTATAATCTATGTAAAGACTAAAAAAAAGACGACAAAGTTACAGTACCCTGCACCGCAATGAAAACAGACTACATGCAATATCGAAAATCCAGAAAAAACTGGACGCGCAACCATCGAATTTTGGCTATAACTCTCAACTCAAAATTGATATTCACTGGATTCTTGATGGAGATGAAATATAACAGAATGAACTACAATTCACCAGAAATGTTTGAAATCATTCGACTGAGTTTCTGAGGTCAAAAACAGCGACGAACAACTATCAATACAAGGGTAAAAAATAGGGTTCTCAAGCCCAACACTTAAACGAACATCACTCAATACGAGATAAGGGCTCGGATAACAAAACGATGCTCCATATGCTCAATAAAACCTCAGCAATAAACACGACATGGAGAGGATTCGATACAATTCAACAAGAGGGAGAGTTCCAAATCCACGTCAATTTCACAAAAAGCAACAAAACGAACGAATCAAATTATTCTAACCGCAACCAACATATATCGATTCACCCGACGAATTAAATCAACGATACTTAACACGAACATAAATGATGAAAAAGTTTCAGCCGGTTATCTTCCTTCGATAAATTACGAATAAAGTTCGAGTGAGGTTCGGGCAAAGCTCGACGAACACACGACTCGGCTACTCGCGAATAAAGCTCTCAATAAAGCTCTATAAAACCCGGCTCG